GTGTCATTATTTTAGCTTGTTCTTTTAAAGCATAAGCGCAACGCTTCGAGATTTAATTTCGATTAAATCTTTCTGCGACACTAGACATACTTTCAAATCTAATCAACTTAGAATTGTAAGTAGCTTCCAGGCTCTCTAATGAGCCCGTCCGTAATATTCATCTATGAGTAAGCAAACCCTTAGCTCGTATAATGACTATAGGTCAGTTCTACTAATTATCAATGTTTTGAAAATATCAGAAGGCCTATTCATAAGAAGTTGAGTCCATTAGGTCGTTTAACGTGATAGAAGGCGTAAAAGTTGTGCCTTTTACAATTAAGTCTCCACGATATCATCACATTTCTCATAGTCATGTCTCCCAAGAGGCATTCTCGCACGGGCTGGATTGCAGAAAATAAATCTCAGGGGCAGTGCTTACGCGCTTCCTTTCGCTGGTCCTCTAGCTTAAGGCAGCTTTCCCACTCATGATGGTTTTAAGGGAGTATTTCAGTTTATCATCAAGTTCACGCTTTTCTCTAACTAATAGTAGTTTCCAATTCTGGAGGAATAAAAAATTTTACTTTAGAATCATCCCCACGACTCCTAGTAGGATTTAAACTGAGATTATTTGTCCATATAAGCAGGCGGCTTGCGAATATGCCAAGAGCGGTCGGCACTATAAAATAATAGGACATTAATACATTATCAATGCAACAATAGATAGTAGTGTATAAATATTAATATAGATTGATATGGATAATATTTTCAATGTGTTCAAACCAAATAGTTGAGTGATAGTCAAATGTTTAGGAGTGAATCATAGTTAGTGTTAAATGCCTCAGTAGAACCTGCAAATCGAGGCTTTGCATATCTGATAATAAGAAAGGCATAAGTTCAACTAATGGCCATTTAGTAGTTTAGATACTCATAGCCCATGATAAAACCATGCCTTACGAGGTATCCGGGTGCGCTTTTCTTTATGGGTAACTGTAGTTTAGACCTCACCAAGACCTCTTCGGAAACTCAAGTAGTTTTCAAACCCAAGACTACTGGAATCCAAGAGAGACTAGGTTGGAGTAATGAATAGACTGAGTGGAGGCAAAATTCGGCCGGTAACGGAACGAATCACTCAGATGCATGAAAACAAAATTCTGTGGCATATCCTATGGGTTTATGGTGTACGAATCAAGCATCATTGCATAAATCATCAAGTTAAAAATTGGGGGTCTTTACTTCTAGCCTTGAAGGTCCCATTTTTAAATAGTTAGGTGAAGATTTATAGGAAAATTAGCTTTCTCAAGCAAATTCCAAGGAGACTCTGACGACTTACAAGCTGAAAGATAAATAGGTATACCGCTTATATTAGGCAAGCAGAGAGGTAAGCTTTAAAACCAACGACTTCAATGAAATACTATAGAGGGAAAAACTCGTAGGTGTAAACTTTATTATAATAAAGGTTATACCTTGTGAAACGATCAAAACCAAATAATGCTGAGGCTTACTAGTTTCGACAAGTATCTTATTTGACTAATAACCACTTCACTCATGATGAAATGAAGTGAATGCCCTGATTTCGATTCCACATTAATTTCCTAATATAGCCCAAGCGACTGCTATCCAGTAACTATGTTGGCATAGGGTGCATTTCGGTGTACGCTATTCACAGTCTCCATAAAAACATGGCCCAATAAGTTATACTACCATTGTGTTGTACGTTAATTGCCAAATTTAACCTTGTATTTGAAACAAGGGGCCAAGATTTGTCTCTCATAATTAAATTGCATGAAATAAATGGAATGAGGCAATGGTGAGAAATGCAACATTCTAGGACGCATAAGGCATCTGAAGTTCATTTAGCCTTGCTCCCAAAAAATTATCCTCATCCTTTCGGGAAGCAAGGCCAAATGGAATTCAACAATACCACCGTATGCAAACTAGGCCGAATTCTTATCCAAGATCTACAGTTACTCACGAAGCCTACATAAATAATTGAGGCAAAGGATTTTGAGAAAGGTTACTCGGTAGAAATATGCGGAAAATACATGGAAAGATAATGATAGAGCAGAAGCTTGCAGTTTGGTTGTTTATAAGGCTTAGAAGATTTCAAAATTACAATAAGCTTTGGGTGAGAGAAAGTACCGAGTCAAAATGAATTTCAATGGCATCCTGAAACTCTTTATTCGATACTCAATATAAAATTGCGTTATCGGGATTTATACCACCTAAGTCTCTATGCAGAGCGGCACTTTATTAAAAGCCTAGTAGCGAAGACTCTGTCTTCACTTTGCCTTTTAAGCGTAATCATAAATAATCATCATAAAGGTCCTACGATCAGTGGAAAAAAAGTTTGTAATGAAGAAGTATAGAGGTTAAGCGAATATTTTCGTATAATTCCCAACACTTGACTAAAAAGGCTTAAAGATAGTAGCATTTTTGATAGCTAAAAGTGCCTAAGTCTATCTCCGCGAGAGCTAAATTAGATGTAATACAATATTTCAATGATAGCAAAGTAAGAAGCCAAACACTTTTTCCACTCTTATTACGCGTAAGAAAACGAATTAAATAGGGCTCTTATAAAATATAACTATAAATCCTTTATTTGGCAAGTTCACACGAAAGTAAAGCCAGAACATCAATGATATCTCAGGTTATTTATCCAAGCCCAGCCACTGTTTATATATAAAATTAGCATATGGTTTTGGAGAAACATGAATTAAAAAACCATGAAACAGCTAAAACAACGCCTGGACGTGTGCTCATGCTTTGGCAAAATAAATGACAAGGAAAACTTGTGGAAGCAGCGGACGTTTGAAGACAGCAATTTTATGAAAAAGGGATAGAAAAAGAATATAATGTATGAATATTTATTCTAGAGCATACCAGTTAAGCAAGCTAGGCGAAAATTAGGAAGGAGGAAGATCAGAAAATGAAGGAATCTTTGGTTGAAAGCTTAATAGTGAGAAGGATACGAAGAGTAACTGGGTTTTAAGGAATCTCTTAAGCTAATATTATTGGGGAGACTTCACTTAGTATGATAGTGCATGACCTAGAGATTTGTTGGTTGGTCCCACTGGAAGACGAGGTTCTATCCTCGCTGTTCTACAGTCATTTGTCTTTAATACGAAGTTGACGCAATCCATAGAGTCGGGTGAAGCCGAAACGAAGACGGATGTCTCATGGAATGTTTCAAAATTAAGGTCGTATTAAGGCTAAACGGCTGCAGAACAACGGGAATCGGCCGTTGCCTACCAGTAGGATCAACTAACGAATCTTTTCATCATGCACTTTCATGTGAAAAGAAAGTCTTCACAACCATGAAATCTGTGCAGCCTGTTCAGTCAATAAAGTAAATGCAAAACAGCCTCACAGAGTAGTGCGAAGCCAGTGCATTTGACGGATTAAAACACGCTTCAACAACAGCAAGGACAGCAACAACAGCAATCAGCGTCTGAGCCCAGGTCAGAATCCAGGCTAGACTCTGACTTGAGGCTTAGCTGGAGTGAAATTCGTATCCCTTTGTGGGCTGCATTCTTTTCGGCGTATATTAAGGCTATGATAGAAGGAGCCCGGCTTAATGGAGGCAACCAATCACTGGCCCAGAACATTGCGTAACAATTGGGCAAAGGAAGGTAGAACGAACGAGTTGGCAATATGCAATCGATTAAAAAGGCAGCACGACCGCTGGCCTGGCAGCAGAGCGATACAAGTTTGATGAATTCGGACGAGATGAAGAAATAGACCCAAAGAGTGGCTGAATAGGTGAACCTTAAGGGCCAATGCTTCCCGTTGTGTGCTCTACCCTGGCGCAAGCAGAGGATGTGTAATCCTATTATGGCCTGCCTCACAGGCAAGCAGAAGGAACGAGTCATCGGGCCAGTCTGGCAGACAAAACCGCTGCCATCCGCTTGTCACCAGACCGAGCAGCCAATCCGGAGTCCGTGCTTCTCGGCAAGGCAGCTCGCCTTTGGAGACCAATGTAAGGACAAAGGGGCTGAATATAGATAAAAGCTGGGCTTCAAGAGTCCCTTTCATTTTGTTTGAAGAGGCGAGTGAAAGCGATTAGAAGATTGTCCTCACTGGAAGCCAAGGAGCTGTGACTGTAGAATTATGCGAATAAGTCTTTGGGTTGAAAACCAGAAATGAATTGGCTGGTGTCAGTCTACCAGTTGTGAATGCAACTTGCATAAGATGTTAGAGAATGGTGTCATCGGGGAGTTAATCAGGTTCAGCGAAATGAGGTAGCAAGTAGTATCAGAAGCCGAAGACCCTTTGAAGTGTCGGAAAAAGCGAGAGCCTTTTGTTGCAAGTAGGGCTCAAGTTCGCCTGTAAATTGATGAGAACCTGGCACCAATGCAGAGCCTCCGTTTAAAAACGCATTTGAAACTACGCTTAGATTCATCGTATGAAAATATCTAAGCAGTTGGGTGAAAATGCTTTCAACTAGGAGTGCAGAGCTTATGAGCCTGTGGTCAAACTAGGAAACATGATAAATATAAAAACTGCAAACTTCAGGTAAATAGAAAGATGAGAATGCTTCTTTATCCTGGCTACAATGAAGCGGCAAGGTTTAATTGAGGTCAGGGGATGTGTGAAGAAGTGGCGCATTTATTGCAAACCAAGAATGAGTCCAGGTGGGAACAACCTATGGAACCTGTATCTTTGCGCACTTTTCATGGAACAGAAGGTAAAATGAACGGTTATCTGGGTTACATATATCAGATTTTTAAACAGTATTGGCAATTGATAGGTATTGAATACAATTTTTTCTTAACTCAATGCTTTCCCGATAGCAAATGCCTAACTTTCTTGCCTCATCCAAAGACGTGTATTTGCACCAGGACAACTGGATCTTGGAGAAAAGCATTCCAGATTATATTTAGTGAGTTTGCAAAGAAATAGTAAAAGGGAAATAATACGTTTTGAGAGAATTTCTGGTCATACAAGGAAGGTGGAGCTTTATGATAGCGCTATGAATTCATGACCTTACCATGAAACTGGTATAGCCAATTTAATCACTTCATACTAGACCACTTGAGAAGGGTTGGGAGGGACCAGAAAGCAAGATTTCCTAACAATTTTAAAACGTTGCCGGGTGAAGTTAGTAAACTTTACTGATCCAAATAATAAAATTTCAAAAATACGCATTCCGTGGTGAGACAAATGCGTGCGATCGCATTATTATAGAAAGTCGTCAAGTTCGGAAAGCACGTGTGTGGTTGGTAACTGCATATAAGATTTGTTCAGTGAACCATGCAGCACAGAGTCAATGGACAGTTATTGATTTATGGACCGTCATTTAATGAAAAAGCCAACCACCGGCGGGTTTGCCATTGAGAAAAAATCTAATTCACCCTCAACTCTGCCTATATACGCTCAAGTTATTGCACCGATCGATGCATGAGCATGCTCCGGTCTGAGCTTATTGCTGGGCCGACCGGTTGAGGGTCGGTAGAGTGGGTCGCTGACCAAAGCACACTAAGGGTCCGATATCGGTTATGCCAGATGAAATGCAATGAAAATGTAAGGTCTATTCATATCATTGTGGCAAAATTCAACCACCAGTCTCCTTATAGCCTTAACAAAATAGGGTGGATATATCACATATATAAGATCTACCAGTAGTCTCAAAAATCTGCTTATAGAAGAACGAAAAATAAGCAATGTAGTCGATTGCTATAGCAAAAATAAAACTTTGCTTAATTTACACTCTCACCATAGAATGTGATATGGGAAAATAACTGGCCTTCCTTGAACTTCACATCTGCCCTATGACCCAGGGGTACTCGTGGCAGTGTGGCGTAGTGGTTAACGTATCAAAATTGTACACTGTGCTATCATAATTCGAGCCCGGCTGGGGTGCAGATGAGGCCTTGGAAAGGTCAAAAATACAATCCACTTTGAATAAGAATACCTTTTTGGAAAGCAAGGCTACATTAAATCCAATATAAACGTGAGATCTAATCATATCATTGTGGGAAAATTCAACTACCAGTCCCCTGATCAACCGCCTTAAACGAAAGAGGTTGAAGACATCTCATGTATACGCCAGAATAATCACCAATTGCAATGTATTAATAAAGGCCTTGCTAGAATTAAGATATGATCTGCTGCTATGCCCCAGGAGCCCATCTTTTAAGGTTCTGAGTGAAGGGCGCTTCGATGAAAAGAGCTATTTCGAGCGGGTTATTAACTCACGGGATACACCGCTAATACAATCGGGATGGAAGACAATATATTATGGCGTTTACTTCTTTCAACTTGGATACGCAAACACGACCATAGTATAGTGGGGGGTTAGAGGATAACATAGTGCTGGAGAGACTTTTTCATCTGTCAATGCACATAGGGGCTCGTCTCCGAAACTCATACTGAATGTTGTAACGATCAGGTGCATGGGAATAACCAATGAACCAACAAAGTGATCAACTTGAGTCAAGTTTCCCACTTCAGCCCTTGTAATTAATGGAAAAATTCGTTGTCGATATTGTCTTAATTAATCATCAAAGCGAATACAGTCACTCACTTAAATCGTCTAAACCACAATGGTTTAACATTTTAAAATTAAATGCAAAAATATGTGCTTATTACGGAACCTTTAACGAATTCCACCTGAGATAGTTATAGAGCAAGACTGCGTCCATTTAATATATGCAAGGTATCAACATGTGTAGATGAATGCAAAGTTCTGGCGTAGCAAGCACTAGAAGGAAGTTCATTAGTGGAGAAGCGACCAATAGCACAGGTAATTAAGTAACATAAAAGGAAAATGCGTTCTGCAATAAAACCCTTAACCTTAGTAAATACAGGACGCTGAAGTATCGTATATCCTAAAGGTATTCTTTAAGCCTTTCGTGGCTTTTCTTGATATCAGGCGAATTACACTTGAATTGATGAGGGACTTCTAGAAAGACAGAAATGTTCGCATATTTGAAGTGGAGATGTCTGATATGAACCTGAATGTTTTTCATACCAAATGCAAAATAAAATTAGTCCTTTGAGTGAGGGTGTACAAACCACAAATGCTAGATATGGCTTGAATAACCATATTATTTTGACCATTAAGAGTACATTCAAGCATTGAAAGTTTTCTAAAATAAGTAATTCTTCAGTTTTTATACCCATATTTTAAAAAATATTTGTAAAAGAAGTGAACAAACCCACCAAGCTGCATAAGGAAAAGTCAAAACGTTCTATTAAATTCTAAAAAATTGGTTTAAAGCATAGGAAGACCTAGGATATAACTAGTGCACTAGTGCATTAGTTCACTAGTTCATTAAGTGACATCGTAGATAGTGACGAAATAGAAGACGTCCCAGAAAAATTAGCAAGTTGTAGAAAAAGAAAAGGTAAGTAGGTAAGGGAGTGCGAATGGTAGTCAAAAGTAGTCAGGAAGGTAAGCGCAAGATTGCTAGGCGTTTGATCCATTAAGCGTATTGCTAAATTAATTAGAATGCACGCAGATAGAAGGATAGTAAATTTTTTCAAGTCATCAGCAGGCCCAGGATACACCAGAGGTTGTACTCGTAACATTGGCGACCTTGACGACTATGGATGAGGCATCATTTCATCTAACTTAATGCTTAAATAGAAATTTCATGTGAATGGAGGTGATGGCATATAGAGGTGAGCGATGCTCATTTTGATTTGGTCTGAAAGCTTTCCTGAAGCAATGATCTTTCATTAATTTTTAGAGTTCTCTTGGAATGGTTTAACAATTTCATCGTCATTCGTCTCCTTAAAGCATTAAAAGGACCAATGAAATAATTTTGAGACAAAATTTGGTAATAGAAGTTGTTTGACCTTGTTTTCGCAACTTGGTCATATTGGCAGGAAGACCTATAGGAACGCATCTTGTCCGGAATCAATAGTATATATGATTATTTCCAGAGTCGGACAGTGGACTTGATACATCTCCAGACGTTTCGCCGGCATCGTCAGTGAGCCTTGGCATTCTTACTACCACACTAAAACTCGTCAGTGACAAATTAAGCTGATCCTTTAATCAATTATCTGGTAAACAGTTGTGGTATCTCTCCTGTCTTGGGCTATTGACCTATCCTATATCCTCGTATCAACCCTTCAATATCACATTTTCTTACATCTTTACCTAGAGCTAGTTGAAAACTATTCACACTCCCCCTGGCTTCCACATCCCTCCCGCTGTCAGGAATGTTGATCCAAGGCTGCAATTTAATCCGCAATCCTCTCCTATCAGACTTCCCCTCTTTCTACGTAAGATCCTTCCCTTATCTACCTGTTTCATTGATATTACTCTATCGCTGCCACCACATCCGTGCTACTCAAGGTGTTATGTTCTACACTCAGCTTTGAGCCTTTGATAGTACGTATACACCAGCCTCATTGGACAAGCCCCTAATGTCTGGATTTTTAATTGTCAAGCCAACCTAACTTGACGCTGCATGTTCCCTTATTACTGTGACGCATGTGCAGTGAGTAAATCTACTAATATAATGAGGTGATGAAGGACTGGTAGTAGAATTTTCCCACAATGATATGAGTGGAGCAGACGTTTCCATTAAATTTCACATAGCCTTGCTTTCCCAAAAGTTGTTCTCATCCAGAGTGGCATAGCAGTTATCAGCCCGCACTATTAAAAGTTGAGCAAAAAACAGTTTTTCCAACTGGAATTAAGGCTTTCTCGAAGATCTCATATGTTTTGGCCATCCATAAGACGCAATTAATTTCTTTAAGCTTAAAAACATACATGACTGTATTTCATAATTGGGAGTGTTGAGGTTGCTTGTTCACTGAGTACTTACGTAAGGCTGCTTCTCTTCTCGCCTATTTTCGTCTGTTATACAAGGCCCGCTAGCAAATTTTTACAATTCTGAATAAAGAAGAAGTAAGA